CATTATCCTATTCGATTTTCTTTGAATATATATTTCCTTAATCATTTAAAATCCATAATATGTATATATTTCCTTAATCATTTAAATCTAAATCGTTTATATCAAAATCATTAATTTATGGTAGGCAAAATCAACGGATTATATCTTAATTTATAACAATTTACTAATTTATGGTAATTAAATTCGCCTATTAAATATAAACATGATTTGTTATTCTAAGTCTTCTAAAAATGGAATATTCGGATATAATATTTAATATTTAACAATAAAATCACGATAATTTAGTGATTGAAATTGAATAAAGTTATTTCTTTTCAAAACTAAATCTCAAACCAAATATTCTAAAATATTAACTACCCCATTTTTACAGCCTATATAAACCATTCCATGTTTTCTTAGTTTACATTCATTTCAAAAGCGAGACAAAATATATATCTCACAAAACAAAGCATGAACTAATACAAATTTTCACACCACATGCTTTCATATCGTTTTTAATCAATGTTTACTCATAATATTTTACTTTTTGTGTTTAATTTTTTTAAAACAACTAATTGTAATCTACTTTTTGATGTAGTAGCTTGAGATTTTGATGTCTTTGGGAAAACTACGAAGATCAACAACATCCTCCCCAATAAACCCAAAAAACGTGGTATGCATTCGAAGGTTATTTAGTCCTACTTCTTATCATCATATATGTAAAAAAAGTTAAATAAAATGGTTAATATTCCTTTTAAAAAATTTTCCTCTAAATTACATGGTATATATATATATATATATGCATTTAAGATTTTATCGCAATCGTTTATTTGTAGATTAAATCTTGATCGTTAATCTAAATTTTCAAATATCTAAAAGATTTTATAGATATTATAATTTTTATCTAAGGAAATTTATTAGGTGAAGAATCTCAATATATTATGTCTTCATTACTATTCCTATACGTGAATTAAATATTTCCTAAACTATTTAACTAAAATCATTTATATTTAAAACGTTTTTTTAAAGTAAACAAAAGAAATTAAATTAATATTTGTGCATCTTTTTTTATTCACAAACTTCGTATTAAAGGTTTTAATCCAATTTAATTTTGAAAACATTTAATTACTTATTATTAAAAAATAGCACTCCTTTTCTTTTAAAGTTTTATAATATATATATATATATAAGTATTCATTATTTCCTGAATAATTTAAAGTTTTCAATTAATATATGTGAAATTTATAACCAAAAGGTGCATGTAAGGCTACTAAGGAATAAAATTTAAAATAAATTCAAATTTATTTTAGTGGTTTTATTGTAACTCTTAAATTATTTTCATTGTTATAAAAGAGAAAATAAATTTGAAAAATATATACTTAAATATTTTTTTGAAACATAATATATGCAAGATATCTTAAAAGATCTTATGTAACTAATATATTTTTTAACCATGAATAAAAATAATATACATTTTATGAAATAAAAAATTTGATTGTTAACATTTTTTCTTTAAAAACTTATAAGAAAAAATCATTTTCAGAAACGAAAAAGGAAGGAAATAAATTTCAACTAATATTACCTCTTTTACTAACCGATTTTAGATAAAAATGATAATAAATTTAATTTTGGTAAGCATTTAATTAATTTAAACTAAATTTTAAAATATTAAAATAGCATTACTTTGAAAGATATTCTGGTCATCTCTTAAAACAGGTCTCTTAATCGGGTCTTGGAATTAAATCTTATTTTCGAATATCTAAAAGATTTAATAGGTATTAAAATTTTCAATTAAGGAAATAGTTTAGGTGAAAAATCTCAGTTTTTTATGTTTTTCATTAATATTTCTAAATTCAAATATTTCGTACATTATTAAACTTAAAACATTTAATTTACCTTATTTCAAGTAGATTAAAGATTAAATTTTATATTAAAATTGTTTACAATTACAATATTTATCATATTTTCCTTTTTTGTTAACATTTTAGCAGATTAGTTTATCATATACTTTTGCCAATAGTTAAATTTTATTCATAAGGTATTCATAAATAGATTATCCAAATTTATGAAATTGTTATATATCACTTATGTTATCTTTCAACCGATATACAATTTTTGTAAATTATATTAAAAGATTGCATTTTCTTATACACCGTTGAGGTAATGTCCGTGATTGATAAATTTAACGGTTTTAGGGAAAATATAATATATACGTACTTATATTAAAACCAGACCTAATTACTATTGTATATATTATTTACTTTCTATACAGTTAAAATATACAAATTAACACGCGATTTAACTCTATAGAATTAAAATTAAAATATACAAGACTATTATGTTTATCCTATACTATTGAATACCAAATATTAATACAAATCCAATTATATCTTTAGTTTAAAAAAAATCATCCGTGCGAAATCACGGGCCATCCTCTAGTTTGTTTGTAAACCACACGATTAACATTTCTTTTTCTTTTTAATTTTTTTTTCTGTTTTAACAAATACAAGAAAAAAAAAACTCAAGACTTGCACTTGCATGGAAAAGCTATAAACAAAAAGACTTGAATGAATGAGAGAGGCAGTGATATCTAAATTTGTATGAAGTTATCAATCGAACAAGATTATATGTGTAGATATATATATATAGTAACGTTACTACTCACCGGTTGGGCTCCAAACGAACATAAAATTGAAACAATAGTTGGCGATCCAGCCAGTGAACCAGTTGGTTATGGTCACTAAACTCCCTGCTAATACCTTTATATCCATTGGAAATATCTGCCAAGAACATATTTTATACATAAATAATTAATAATATATAGCAAAACGATCATTTGATCCAAAAGAGAGTAAATAAGAATATGTTTGATCATATGTGTGTATACGTACGTACCTCAGACATGATAATCCACGGCAACGCTCCCATCCCAATTGCAAACATCATCGTAAATGACTGTTTCAATTTATAAAATTGTTATAACTTGTCGTCACATTTTTTAAAATTTACCAAATACAAGTATATGTAAAAATCAATATTTATGAGCTAGCTAGTTTGATATACAGTTTCAAAAACTGAATATCAAATAATGAAAACATACCAGTATTCCAATGAAACAGAAAATTGGAGTAATTTTTCCAAGATGTGGGTCATCTTTAACTCCAAACGCTACTGCTAATGTGATACAGCTCAAACATAACCCAAATGCTGAAGCCTGCAAATTCGTTCGAAATATGTTTAGTTTATATGTTACAATAACTACACTCTAAAATAGCATTTGCTTAGCCGTTTATTTTATGTACCCAACTAATTAACGACTAAATGTCAATTGAGAAAGCAAATAAAGGTAGTCTCTAGAAGAAATAAAATTCTAACCATAAGAAGTGGACGTCTTCCCCATCGATCCACGAGGAGTAGACCCATAAAAGATTTTGGTACCTATGCATGATCATTGATAATACAATATAATATCATGCATTGTTACGATGTGAGAATACGATCAATAATCATGTGATAGAAAAACATATCTAGTAATAATTTTTTTTGTTTACGTACGACGATAAAAGACAACACCATCATCCCAATCCGAGAAGGAAATCCTAGAAGATAAAAAAAAGTGTTTTTAGTATGCTAGTACATATATATATTCTAACTAAATTACATTACACCTTGATGAAAAGAGGGAATAAATGTGATTTACCGGCAAGATTTAATATAGTGGTTCCGTAACCACCTATTCCCGCCGATCCACATAACTGTTGCATAACCATCAACCCTATCCCTATCTAAACACACCAGTATATTATAAAAATATATATATAACTCGTTATTCAAGAGTTTTAAGTAATACTTATATATCATGAATGGATCATAAAAAGTTAAAAACCATTGTTTATCTTACTGTGAGTTGGTGAGCATATCTCTTTTTGAAAAGACTAATAATGCTGATATTCGACCTTTGTTTCGAGGCTTCAACTGATATCTACAAATTTAACAGTGAGAATTCGTAAAGAAAGATTAAAACTTTTGTAGGTAATTTTCTCAATTAGGATACTAGCTAGTTGTTGTTTTTTTCCCCCTGGTGGTTAAAATTATCTACAAAAAAAATATTTAAAATAATGTTGAACATCTACTAATATATGCTTTTTTAGTTTTTTTCTTCTTCTTTCCTTTTGGCAAAATTATGAGAATACCTTAATTTCACGAGCTTCGTGCACAATATCATATCTTGGTCCTCTTAACTTTTGTAGAACTTCTTCAACTTTTTTATCACGGCCGTTTTTCGCCTGTATTCATATATTATTATTATTTCTTTAATTAATGACAACAATCATGTTCAAATATTGTTCTTAATTAAGTAATATTGATTTAATTATAATATGACTAACCAGCCATCTGGGAGACTCAGGTGTGAAGAACAAACCAATGACTTGTATCCAACATGGAATACTGCCTGGTTAGAAATTGTTTTTTGTTAGATAAAAACATATACATACCCAAAAAATTGGGAGAATTGAAACTTATATATAGTAGATATGATGGGAATGAATCACCGATCATGGCTAGAGTTCTCCATGACACGAAATTTCCAAAGTAATATACGATCGCAATCCCAAAGTTTTGCAACAGCTGTGAATTTACTGATTTTAGTATTATAAGTCAAATTTATATATGCATAAATGATTACTATATATAAATTGGTATGTCACCTGATTGCTAAATGTAAAAGCCCCTCTTACGTGCTTGGGTGTTATTTCCGCAACATATACAGGAATCTATCATAGTTTTCGATTCAAAGAAAAATTACTAGGAATTTACGGTTTGGGACTAAAGAATTTTAAGGAATTTTTTATATTTATTTACCACGTAGCTAACGAGACCAACTCCAATCCCCACCAAAAACCGTCCCATGTCAAGCCAAATAATATCCTGTGCAAAAATAAATTTAAAGTAGGAATTTGTTTAATTGTATCTATTAACTGAAGTTGCAAAAAGATAAGTACTTAAGAATATTAGATATGGGTTTATGAGGAAACCTTGGCTAGTGCAATTGCAAGCCAACCCGCTATGCAGAATAAATCAGCGAGCCACAACGTCTAAACAAAATTATTGAGATAAAAAAAAAAAGTTGTGAGCTAGGGTTTAAGACTTTAACGATATACTAGTTAGAGGCATATGCCAAAACGAAGAATAATGAATAATGAATAATGAATAATGAATAATGAAGTTGATTGGTCGTAGGAAAAAAGGAACAATGAAGTTGACACAAAAAAAAATAATATAAAGAATAATGAACACTTCACCATTTTATAAATATAGGGATAATATAAAGAATAAAATGAAGTTGACAAAAAAAAAATATAGAGAGTAATGAATACTTCACCATTAATTTTATAAATATAGGGATAATATAAAGAATAATAAAGTTGACAAAGAAAAAAATATAGAGAGTAATTGAATACTTCACCATTTTATAACCGAAGGCAGCTGCAGCTTTGGCGCTGAATATTGAACCGAACATTCCTCCAAACGTCGAGAGCGAACCAAACAGCGAAAACTGTTATAATTTTTTAACGTGAAAATTACTGTCTCAAACAATACGAAGTCGTACAATAATTTTAACCAAACATTTGTGTAAAGAATTGAACGAAATGTTTTTTTTTTTATCTTCTTCTTTTTAAAAAGTTCTTAGAAATTGTCCAAAAAAAAAAAAAAAAAAAAAAAAAAAAAAAAAAAGTTCTTAGAAAAGGAAATGTCGTGACGCATCGACTTACTTGTGCGAGAGAAAGATCCAAGTCTGTCATAATGGAGGACATTGTATCTGCAGTATAACCCATCTGTTTTGGACCATGCATAAAATAATTGTATAAGAATTATGTTGAAAATGATCAAGTTATATATGCAGACTCCTATAGTTTATCTACCACACAATTTCTTGAAAATATCTCAACCATCGTACTGTCTGTGTGGTTAGAAACTCTAAAAATAAAAGATTTGTACGCAGTGTGGTCCAATCCAACAGTTCTCAAGGTCCACACAAGATTAAGAACTTGTCGTTTTTCATTTTTCATTTCCTGTTAATGTTGATCTAAACTCCATTTGTTATTACCACAGATTAGGTTCTTAATCTGAGGCTTTCTTTTTTTTTTTGTTAATTACTGTATTTAAATATTTTCTAACCAACATTTTCTCTAACAAAGAAGAAAACAAATATAATGACTATAAAATTTTACTAATAGTTTTCCTTAATTAAGAACTTAAATAAGACTACGTACCAGTTTAAGCTCATTAATTAGTTCTACATACATCGATCTGACTAATTTGGTTCTAAAATTATAATAGGAACATCGATCTCTCTCTATATGAGACGGAATATAAATCGTATATACCTAGTAGTTCTGGTTATGCCACAAAGATGGCTTCTTTATTTGTGTTAATTGTATCAAAATAGTTTCTAAACAACAAATCATATTTAATTAACTTAAAAAGTCTAAAAAATTGTCCTAAAGAAAATAAATAGTCATATTATGTTAAGATTTTTTGCTTAAGCTCATATTTGTCCTGTCTATATCTCACTTTGGTTCCATTAGGAAAATTTCAGAGAGAAAGAGAGGAGAGATAGAACAGTTGTCCTCTGCATCCGACTTTGGTCCGGATCTAACTTTGGTTCTAAAATTCTAATAGGAGCGTCTCTATATGAGACCGCATATGCATATATATATATATATATATATATATATAGAGAGAGAGAGAGAGAGAGAGAGAGAGAGAGAGAGAGAGAGAGAGAGAGAGAGAGAGAGAGAGAGAGAGAGAGAGAGAGAGAGAGAGAGAGAGAGAGAGAGAGAGAGAGAGAGAGAGAGAGAGAGAGAGAGAGAGAGAGGTTTTGTCATGAAGCCATCAGAGAGACACGAGAAAGACTCTGAGGTGTGACCACACCCGCATGTGCCCACATTTCACCGTTTTTACAATGCCACCCAAACCGTAACCTTTTCCACACTTTTAAAATTATATATTTATCAAAATGTAACACTATTTCATAATTCAAGACAAAAATGATTTTAATAATTCAAAACTCAATCATGTTTTAAAAATTTTACAAGTTGGGTTTTAAAAAAGCATAAATAATAATACTAATTTTATATATATATATATATATGAAATATAAAAATATTAGACTAAAACAGAAATATTAATTAATATCTGAAACTTATATTATTTTTAAAATATATATATTTTAAGTTGTCAGAAATGATTAAAATTGTGGTGAAAAGATACAAAAAAAAATGCATGGTTTTCTGATAATACAAAGGTAAATCTTTCAACCATTAAACCACACACCATGATTTGGTTAATAAAAACCACCTTTTTAAAAAGTTAGATTTTTTTTTCTTTATTGGGAGAAAAAGAGATAGGGACTGTAGCTATATATATTTGACATCACACAAGGCCTCAAACCCCCAATTATTAAAAGAGAAGAACAAAGCAAAGGCAAGAGAGAGAGAGAGAGAGAGAGAGGAGATAGAGAGAGATAGGGTTTTTTCTTTTTGAGGTGTGTGTGTATTTATAATATATAATTTTTTAAGTGTGGCTTCTTGTTCTTCTTCCTCTATCATCAGCTGCTCTCTTTGGTTTCTTGCTTGTCTCTGAGTTTTTAGCTTTATATTGACCTTTTTCTTCTTGGTTTCTTTCTCTGAAACTCAAAAAGGTGTACAATAAAAAAAAACAACTTATACCATGTCTTCTTTCTAAAACTTACAAATTATATCTAACTCTTTGGATTTATATTTGTTCTCTTTGTTTTTGTTCTCGCAAATGTCTTCTAGTGAATTTTTTTTTTTTTTTTCTCTTTTCTTCCCATGTCGTCAATCTCTATGGCTTCTTCCTGTTCTTCTAATTCCTTGCTTTCGTTTTCTTCTGAATCATACATATATATTTTTTTTGATTTCTTATCTTCTCTCTCTCTTTTTTACTTTTTAATTATATTTTTCTCTATGGATCTTTGTATCAGCTTTAGCAAATCCAGAAACAGCTGAGAAGAAAGATGTCTTCATCCTACAACAACTCAATTGCCTCATCCTCCACTCAGTCCTTCCTCCTCTCAGGTGCTGCTGCTGCTGCTTCGGGTGTCGGAGCTACCAACTTCAACCGTGATCAAGAGCCCCCGATGAC